GCCAATAGCATGTAAGATATCTTCACTCGCCCAGATGTCCAGCACAAAAACTTTTTTAGGTGACTATGCTATATGGCTCACCGCCAGCCGTCACTACTAAAAGTTTTTGCAAGCCAAGCCCAGAGTAGTAAAAGTCAATGACGTTTGGCGCGCGGAGCCTTTTGCTTGCCCTCATCGTTGCCTTTTTTCTTACTAAAAAGCCCAACATGATTTGGTGATGGGCGCGCTGAGCGCTGTATTACTTGCCCCCTTTGCCAAATCAAAGCCCAGCGCTGTGAACAAAGAAGATTTGGCTGGATGATGAGATGCTTGCCGACTCAAGTCGATGCTGAAATGACCCATGAACGCCCGCGTCCACCAATTCAACATCAAGCTATGCAAATGGATTTTGCTGATCGAGCCGCTGTGAGAGCGCGAGCCTGAAGATGGTACCGGGCCGACGGGATAATTTCAAAGACGAGAGCAGGTTGCGTTACCATTTTCCAAGCCCAGATTCTTCATTGCGGTGATGTTGCCATAACATCCGGCCCATCGCAACGAATAGTTTACTATTCGGGGTTTGTTGCAGCCCACCACGCCCAGCCACATAGCCCAGCAAATCGATGTGACTGCGGCAATATTGCAGCAATTCTTGCAGCTTATTGAACGTTGTCCTACCATCTTCGGATGGACACATCGAGAAAAGTTCCGCAAGGAACTAGCCCAGCTTTATTTGTGGTAGTTCGCTGCCATAAATGAAAACAGATTTCGATCTGTAAAGCCCAGAAGCCCGGAGAAACAGCGGGTCAGAATCTGCTCACATAAACACTCAACAACAATGGTGATCGAGTGGGATGCAGATCCCTTAAGCTCAGGCTTTGCGAGAAGCAGATCCTTGCGTCGGATTTGTGTGTTGAAGTTTATGTTTCGCCCAGCTCCCAACAACACTTGTTGTTGTTGCAATGCCCAGCCAGGGTGCGTAGAGTCATATGCTGCCAGAGCGAGATGGACTACGTCTATTAAGCCTGATCCAGTATATTGATCCTTCGTTCCTGTCAGCAATGACAAAAATACGCCCAGCATTTAGAGAATGTATCAAGGACGCAGGCGCTCAGGGAAGTCAAGTCAAGTATGGGACAGACGGCAGCGCAAATGGTTATGGATCAGTCATCATCGATGCGCCCCGGTGCCTGCCGTTGCTCGTTGCTTACCAGGCTGATTTCCGGTTGCTCCTGCGACGCTTTTTGCATTCAGCCCAGCTTTCGCACCGTAAGGTCGCATAATGCCCAGCTATGACATTTTTGTCATTTCTACGCCCAGTCGCCATTTTTTTCGAAAGTTTTTACGTTTTTTGGCGAGGCGTGTTTGTGTTCTCGCATTCCCATGCGTTGGACACAACAAAACTTTCGCGTCCTTATTGACTTTCAATGACCTTATTTCGTAAGTGTAAGGGAGAAAGCAGTAAGGCAGCCCAGCATGGCTTTCTTCTGCCAAAAAGAAGAGGCTCCAGTAATGGATGCAATACGCGGGACAAGATCTAATCAGGATGTGAGGACACGCAAGAATACAACATGAAGACGCTGCTGCACTGCAAGCCTCTTCGAAGCTCAACATCAGCGTCAAGGTCCAGCAACCTGCAACCCTGCCTAGCCCAGCACGTGTGTGTGAAGTCATTGGCGCTCTTGACGTGTTATTCTGTCTCGAGTCTGCTAAATGCGCTTCACATACATTGTCAATTGACAAAGTCCAGCATTCGTTCGCGGCGAAAACATACTTTTCGATTGTTTTTTGACTATCAAAACGCGCCCGAAACGAACACAATGCCCAGAAGTGCAAATGCAACTTTTTTTTTGAGAAGATATTCAGGCGTATCTTGTGCTTGACTTCAAAACTAAAAAGCCATTTGCCCTGTCGGAAACGACAGCTACTGCCCAGCAATCCTGCGTGTAGTAGCGATTCGCGTACGCACAACGGAAATTATTTTCCTTTCAGGATTGAAGCTTCACTCTCGCCTATTGCGGTGGCCCCGGTTTCCGGGCACGCTCTCGAGTGGTCTGAACACATCGGACATTCTCGAGGAGGCTGCAGGGTGGCCACAAGTCTGCTTGTCGTCTGGAGCTTGCCCTTCATCGTCAATGGCGCTACGCAACTGCGTACTGAAGGCAGCGCCAGGCGGCTTGCAGCGGTGGAACAGCTCATCCTGGGAGGAATCGCCCAGCCTCGGACTCGGTCCTCGCTCGTCTGCTGTCAGCAACGAGCGATCCAGAGTTCGAGTTTGAGTTTTCAAACTCGATTCCCAGCAATACTGGGCAATTATAACGGCCTGAAGCCCAGCAGATGAATTTGTTTTTAGACATCAGCCTCTTCGAGAGCTGTTGTCTTATTGCTAGTTCAAATAGTGTGGCTTAGAAACCCACTATATGCCCAGTCGTCCAGCAAGCGGTGGCCGCTTTCTATCCACTTTATGTGGTGTGAAACACCACTTGCCCATTGCCCAGCAAATACATTTCCAGAAAGCTGGGACCATGGTAACAAGCCGAAGTATCCATCATCGCGCTCATTGCTGTGAAGCCCGCCGTACAGACGCCTCGCGTATCGTGGAGCGCAAAAGTGGCCGTTGTGAGAGGACGAATGCCCCGGCCACAACTCTTCGAAGTAAATGTCAAGCAGTGTGGCCCAATGCGATGTTTTGCGATCAGGATCAGGTTGCGTTTGTTCCCGTGGCCCAGCCTTTCCGTAGCCAGCGATTGCTGTTGTGATAGGTTTGCCTATCCGCTTTGCCTATCCGCTACGTGATTTGTATTCCAAGCCCAGTTCGTGTCGGAGCACCGGCGCGACAAGCGCGTCCGCTTGGTCTGCACCGACACGAAGACATCGTTTGATGTCAGACGCCCAGAAAGCCCAGGCAGTCAGCGCATTACCTGCCTGACTGCAATTTTTTTTGCGTGACTTTACGCACCCCACAAGTGATGAGCAAAATTTCGCGGCTCCAGCCGCTTGTCCAGCAACGGGCGTCAACGTTCGCTTTATGTGAGCGATGTACCCATCGCTGAATTTTGCATGCTCGAGAATTACATTTCTCAGCAATCATCATTGTGGAAGCCCAGTAGCCCAGCCCACACCTCTCCTTTTTTGGAGGGTGTGTTTATCTTCAATTCAGATCCTTCGCCGGCCTGAGATACACATTGCGCGTCCGACCACGATGAATTCTTCCAATGATACGTCAGCGGAGTTAGTAATCGCGGGCACCAGTGCATCCTCTCGGCTGGCGAGTCATGGATCTGGTTAAGGTGAGCCCAGCACTGCTTATGCAGCGCTCAACATTTGTTGGGCAAAGCCCAGCTCACCGGTGAAGGTCAATGCAGCTTTTCGCTCGCAGAGGCCGTTATCCGGAAAACGTCCAGACTTTTCCAAAAGTCCAGTTTTTTAGACGTCCAGAATTTCAAAAGACCAGTTTTTCAAAAGTCCAGTTTCCACCAATGCCCAGAATTCTAAATGCCCAGGACTTATAAATGCCCAGGCTTTACATACGCCCAGGTTTTTCTAAACGCCCAGGCATTCAATGCCCAGTCCTGCCTTCGTAGACGCCCAGCAACCTGGTAAATGACGCTTCGTGGAAAGTCAATCTTCCTGTTGCCTGATACCGCCCCTGCTGCTCAGCCCAAGTCAACTACAATCCAAGTCCACTACAATGGTTCTACTACTTGTACGACTACATCAATGTACCAAACAAGCTGACAGCAACACTTTTTTATCAGGTCATGTATGCTTTTGTTTACCTGTCCCCCATCGATTGGTTTCCACCCATACCGTGTTGCACACGGTTTTCCATGTCCCACCTTGGTTGTCAGGTCGAAACTCCACACGCCTTTCCAAAATTCATTCAAAACTCTTTTTTTTCGCTCAGGCCGGAAGGCCTTCCCACTACGGTCGTACCAGTTGCATTCCGACCCCCTGCTTTCAAGTCCACCAGACTCATTCCGTCATGACTGATGTCGCCATTGCAACCGTATATGGTTCAGTGTGCAGACCGAAGTCCGCGGACGGTCGCTGGGTCGAAGGGTTCGACTCATACCTTCCCCAGTTCGGTGGTGCCCCGCTCAGTCGCTGAGTTGGGGCGGCAGTGTCGAAAGTTGCGAGCATTATGCTGCAACGTTCGATGGTTTGCTAAAACCTGTACGTTACCGTAGCGCGAGGCCCCCTCGGAGAGAGGGGGCCGGGCGGCTTTCGTGATTATTCCGAACAGACGATTTACGGATTTCTCGAGGGTTTAACGACCAGGTCTGTGCGGGTATTGCGTTAGCAGAAGACCAGCTACCTTTTGCCTTACGCCCAGCATCTTTTTGCCTAAGACCAGCGAGTCAGACCAGCACTTTACCTTGCCCTCACTTTCCATCGATGAGTGTGCTCGTATTCTAATGGTTTACATGCCGATAAACTTTGTGTATACTTTTGTATCCTTATACCGAAATGCATTGGATTCTATTACACGATTGTAGAAACTACCACTGAACATTACTGCTTGTATAGCCTCTTGGGATCCCTGCCATCTCCCGGTCTATCCGGATGCAGGGTTGTCCGAGCGGGGCCCAAGGGGCAAAGTCCAAGGTGATAGTGTGGCAACTCTAGCCTCCTCCGTGATCTTTATAGTAGAGGATTTGGCGCAGAGGGACTATTACTTTCGACAGGCTGGGAGTGGGCTTTCAGTGCGTATTAGCGTCTATTAATGCATAGACAAATATCTGATTTATACTCATTTTATTTGTCTATTAGTGTAGCGGTATCTGGAGCTTTTTATGCTAATTAGATTGCGTATGCTCTGGAGAGGTGACCGATTGAATTATTCTCAGCTTTTCTGTAAATCTCTCTGTCGCTGTCTGTCTCTCTCTCACTCTCTCGCTCTTTCTCTCTCTTTCTCTCTCTCTCGCTCTCGCTCTCTCAAAGAGTTTTTCTTTTGTAGTTTTTCGTTTCCTTTTTTGGTCTTTTAACTTGCGCAAATTTCACAATTTCCAGACGGGTCAATGATGAAAAAGTTGAAACGACGCCTGTCGGCGGCGTTTCGCGGCAATTCCAACTCCCAGTTAAATGTAAGGTTGTTTAAAATTATGGATAACCCGAGTAAATACAACCAAAACTAATTAATATATTGATGCTGAATTTTTGTCTCTAGATTTCGACGGGTCCAATCATCTCACAGCCGTACCGGACGTGGAGCCTCTCGGACAGCATGAGTCAATTGGCCGACAGGTTCGTATATTTTGGTAGTAAATGACACCTGCTAGCCTCTCCGAATTCCCCAAAGAATCTCTGCCAGCCTGCCTCTGCCAATTCCTCAAAGAATCTCTGGGTATATGTCGGCTACGCGGGGGGGAAATTTTACGCGGGGGGGGACGGACTGTTGGGGCCGTGCTAACTATTTTTTGCGTTTCTTTTTGCTACAAACAAAACTCTTAGTATATTTTTCGCCCTCTGTCGAATGGCACTAAAGAAATTTTGTAAAAATGTCGAAAATGTCGAAAATTTTATTTTCTTCTATATCCTCCATGGAAACAACGTTTAATACTTGTTTTTGTTATAACTATTTTATATTACGTTATTTTGAGCTAAAATTAAAACTTTTAGTATATTTTTGGTTGCTCTATCGAATGGCATCTTTAAAATGTCGAAAAAATAGCGCAAATGTCAAAAAACAGCCGCTCAAACCGATTTTCAAAGCTTATTTTTGTATTTGCCATAACTTTTTTATATTACACTAATTTGAGCTAAAACAAAAACTCTTAGTATATTTTTCGGTGCTCTATCGAATGCCGTTGCAAAAATTCCGAGAAAATAACGAAAACATCCAAAAATGCCTGCCTGTCCCGTCCCCCCCGCGTAAAATTTTCCCCCCCGCGTAGCCGACATATACCAATCTCTGCTAGCCTGCCCTCCCCAATTTCTCAAAGAATCTCTGCTAGCCTGCCTTCTCCCAATTCCTCAAAGAATCTCTGCTAGCCTGCCTCTCCCAATTCCCCAAAGAATCTCTGCTTGCCTGCCTCTCCCAATTCTTCAAAGAATCTCGGCTAGCCTGCCAAATGGTCTTTGCTACCTTGCCCCGGCAAGGAAACCAGAAAAATTCAGTTTTTACATCCGTTTCAGCCGTTTTCGGCTACCCCTTCTAAAACGTGACCATTTAAAATCCAATTTAATTCCATTAAATATTTTTTTTGTTTCAGACTGGCCGTTGAGGGGATCATTGTGGAGGAAGAGAACGGCGTCCTCCGCCATCCCATCGGAGAGACGAGGTGAGCAACACTCGCCATTTCACTGCACTTAATTTACCCCCAAAAAAAGGGAAATTCCGCGGGGCTCCGCTTTACCCTCCACGTCCCGAAAATGAAGCACATCGGCTCCGGTTTCGGCTGCCCCCAAATTTTTAGGGCCCATAAAATTCCAAATGGATTTCTGGTTTTTTACGAAAATTACAAAATTTTGCATTAAGATCCAAAAAAGAATTTGTAAAGGAACACCGCTAGTGTGCCTCACGGAAACGGTAGATTCCTAAATGATCTCTGCTAGTCTGCCCGGTCGCTTCAGTCCCTAAATGGTCTCTGCTAGCTTGCCCCTGTGGGAAGTAGTGGCGATACGATTTTCCGGATTCCTCAAAGATCCCTGTTAGCCTGCCCGGCCAATTGTGTTCCCAAATGGCCTCAGCTAGCTTGCCCTGTTCGAACCAGGAACCGAACCTTTTACCGGATTACAAAATTTGAATTTATTTAAGACTGAAGATTACATTAGTCCGATTTCATAGCGAAAAATGGAAAAGCTGGTTTGATGGAAATGGAAATTTGATGGGTTTTTGTTATGAAATTCAAAAGTTGTTTTGTTGTTTTCTTGGTATATTTTCAGTGGTTTCAAAGTCGATTATTTTTTCGCCTTTCAGACATCACCGCGCCAAGCCCCGGACGCATTCGATGTACTCGTCGCGAATGTACCACTCCAGCTACTATGGTGACGGTTCGTTTTCAGGTTTTCTTGGTATTAACGTTCCGAACGAAAAAATCACGATCAACATAAAACTGTTAATAACCATAAACCGCTAAAGATATGGATTTAATCGCTGCTGGTCTGCCCTGAATTTTTTTTGAAGTGGCGGTTTTTTTGTGATGCATTAATTAGAAAAAATACGATTAAAGTATTTGTAAGTAAGAGTAAGTGTAAGCATTAAAGGGTTTTCGCAATTTCCTTCTCCAAGAATCACCGCTAGTTTGCCCTGATCTATTCGCTTTTGAACGCCGTTTGGCGGATTAATGGGTGCTCAAAAAATCCTACATCTAATACAAAAAATTCCGACAAGCTGCTACCTGCAAAAATTCAAAAAACCAATCTAGAAGTGCAATTCAAATTTTCGGGATCGCGTGCCGACTAGGGGTGGTCGGATCTTTGGTGTATTCAAAGTTTTTGGTCCACTGGTCGGTGGATGAAGTGGCTTGGAACATCGGGCTTGGGCTAGACTTTGTTCGAGGAGGGAGAGAACGAGAGAGAGAGAGAGAGAGAGAGAGAGAGAGTGAGAGGGAGGGACCAGAGAAAGTGAAGGATCGGCACCCATCTGCCCCCTCCTCCTCCCCCTCCCACCGGAATGCCAGATGCCGGAAATCTGGCCACTTCCCTCCCTTGGCGGGCATACCAATTGCTCACTAACTTACTCCGCTCAGAACTCCGTTTTTTGAATGTGCCCAAAACATCTGGAAACCTGGGGGGTCAATCACTCTTTGACTGGGTGCAGGGGGTTTGGCTAATTTTAGCTAACTTCTGTTATTTATCTCTTTTTCTCTCTCCCTCTTCCCGCGTTCTCGCTATCTCTCTCTCTCTCTCTCTCTCTAGCTGTCTCTCTCTCCAGCCCACGCGCCACCATCTGGACCCCTTGACCCCATCGTGGCCGCTCCCTGATTAGCATATTGCTCCCAAAAAATACGCCTTACTTGGTTTTATTCTCCTGAATTTCTGGAATTGAATTCGAAAAACGAGAGAGAGGCACAGACAGAGTGAGAGAGAGCGAGAAAGAGAAAGATAGAGCAGTCTATCAGCCGTGATTTCAGAATTCTTGCCAATTCCAAAGTCTTTTGCTGCCAAAAACAAAAATTCTACCCATTCATCCTTCTTTTCCATGCATTCTAATATTTTCCGAGATGGCCACGATCTTCTATATATTGTCGTGGGGAAATGAACTGCATTGTTGACTCATTGCGCCCCCTTATCGAATTGGCTTCTGTCTATTGCCGTTGGTGTGTGTGGCCAGCTCATACCGCTAGCCATCGAAAACATTGGTCTTTTCTTGTAAACTTTTGCATTTGAGGGGTGCATTTTCGTGAAGCTTTTTTGTCTCTCTCGCTCTCTCGCTCACTCTCTGTTCCTCATTCTCTCGTTCTCACTGAGAAAATCCTCACTGATGACCCTAAAACCAGCTTATTTTGGATGCCCTGATTTTGTCTGTCTGTCTGTCTTACTCTCTCTCCCTCGCTCTCTCTCTCTCTTTCTCTCTCTCTTTCCTCTCTCTCTCTCTCTCGCTCTCTCTCTCTCTCTCTCTCTCTCTCTCTCTTCTCCATTTGTCGGAGATGCCAGCCTATTAAGGTCTTCGAGACCTTTTCACCATTTTCTAAGACCAAAATCCCTCTTCCAAAAATCAGCAAATCTTTCAAGACTAGTATTTGGCTTGGGGCATTTCAAAAATAGCCCCCAGGCCACTTGGCAGGCTTCCCGATGAGTGATCATGCCACTGGAAGGGGGGGGGGTAGTTGTCCGAAATCCCCCAGAGGATTTGACTCCGGGGGGGGGGCAGCGGGACCAAACTTCTGCAGCGACTTCCTGGGAATGGCGGCTTTTTAGGGTGGAGGGTACTTTAATGGGCTATGGCTATCAGCTTATAGTACTTGGCTTGCTGGGCCTTTGAACTTGGCGAAGTTGACGAAATATACAATGTATAACAATTTTAGTATTTCTTCTCTCTATCTCTCTTGCTCAAACTCACGCTCTCTCTGCCTCTGTTTCTCTTTCGCTCTCTCACTCTCTCTCTCTCTCTCTCTCTCTCTCTCTCTCTCTCTCTCTCTCGCTGTATAGCTTTCTATTTTACCACTTTCTACCCCAGTACCTCTATCGCTGTATCGCCGCCGCTATCTATCGCCGCTCCTCTCTCGCTCTCTCTCTATCTCTATCTCTCTCGCTCTCTCGCCCTCCCAAGCCAGCAAAAATGTCTTAGCAATTACAGTATTTTTAAATCAAAAGTTTCCTTTCTTAACGCTTTTAATTTCCTTAAATTTTTCAAAAAAACTCAGTTGCCTAACCTATACAAACCAAACGAGTCACTTACCAACTAGACACATTTCCAGAGGTCATCTGAAGGGTTGAGACATGGTCCCATGGGTCCTTCTCCCTCTGCTACTCCTCCCTCTCCTCCCCTCAGGGCCCCTCCCTTTTATTGATTCGCTGGGGCCCTTGTATGGGCCCTTTCGAGGCCCTGCTCTGCTTTCCCTTTCCCTTCCAACCCACCCACCCACCCGCTATGGCCATGGCATGGCATAGTGGCCATCCAGGGGTCCCCGCCGGCTACTCGCCTCCCGACTCCCATCCACGCCTATTAACACTTGTTGCCCGGCTGGCCGACCTTTTGTGACCTTTTGGCGAGATTTATTCTGGGCTCGATCGTACTTCCTTTTCCACTTAGGCATTTTTCGTATTTTTTGGCGATTTTTCAATCCTGTATTTTTGTCGAAACCTTGCTGAAGGCTTGATTTAAATTCTAGCTACAATCCCGACAGCGAAAATAACGACAGACCGAAATCCCGACATATTTTTGACGCTAGTGGAGTTCCACCTCCTTTAAGACACCTGTTTTGTGTGTCGGCATTTTGGCCGGCTGGCCGGCATCCTGGCTGTCGAGATTTTTGCTGTCGGGATTTCACGTTTCCCCTACTCAATTCTACCCTTCTGCATTTCGAAATCCGTCCCAATTTTGCCGATTTGCCAAAACTTTTTCGAAATTTTTGTCGAAAAACGGCTGTTTGGAAATTGGAATCTGTCGAAACTTATCTATATAAAATAGATGTGGAAAATCGAAATTTCAATTTCAAATTTCTAGTGCGACTTTTTGATGACAGTCGAAATTGGAATTATTTTATTTTTAATGAAATCTGAAAATGCCGACGTCTGCTCGACCCAATTTTTACAAATTTCGAAACGCTTTAATTTTTCGAAAACACCTTTTAATTAAAATTCAATAACTTTTTTCCAGGTACCTTTGCAACTACATTTTTTTGTTCTGGCTAGCTTTTCAACTTTAGAGGTTTTTTTTGAAATATGGATTTGCACAAATTTTGTCGGATCCAAATGATAACTTACGAGTAATTTATTGTCTGAAAAAGTTCTTTTTATTACTTGCAAAATCTAGTTATCTTTTTTATGTCCTGGGAGGAGGTTACGCAATAATTCTGGATGCTAATCAACGGGAAAAAGCGGGACGGCCGCTTCTCACATTCCGAAGTGCCGCTGGGATAGCATAGGATATCCTCAGATATTCTTGTTATTTGAGAGAGGGAGAGAGAGGGAGAGAGAGAGACCGAGAGAGAGAGAGAGAGAGAGAGAGAGAGAGAGAGAGAGAGAGAGAGAGAGAGGGAGCGACAGACAGATAGAGATATCGTCAGGAATGAGCGCATCAAAAAAAAACGGAATTGACACGCCTCCCCTCCTCCTCCTCTTCCTCCTCCTCCGCGTCGGCTGACAGAACGAACGGGGCGCTCCTAACAACACCCAATTTATTCTGGCACTCTTCCCCCCGCTGTCGTCGGCCGGCCGATTTGTCCTCCTCATGCTCGTTGCTCGCGCTGCGCAGCGTCCATTTCACGCCGCTTTCCAATCAACGTTAAAGGCGCCGCCGGGCGTTTTGTTGCCCATTTCGCGAGACACAGGCTTCAGAATGCTAATTTAAATTCGCTTAAAACTTGGCGGGGGCTTGGCGCTACGAATTTTCCATTCGATTCGGAGTAGCGTATTTTTGCGGAATTACTGTAGGCCTCCTAATTTTAGCAGGTCAGTTTTCATTTTTGCAGGATGTTTCTAATCCTAAGCCTGAACCTCAGCTTAAGCCTAAGCCAATGCCCAAGCCAAGCCTAAGCCTAAGCCTAAGTTTAAGTCCAACCAAATCCTATGAATTTTCAACTTAGCTTCACTCTCGATTACATCTATTTCACGTTTTCACCAATTTCTCCACTTTCCATTCCGTGCCCTCCCCTACCGTACCCCGCACCCAGATGCAAAGATGAGCTCGGCCATCTCAAAATCGGCGACTTTCCACGATTTCGGGGAGGAGCTCGAGGCCCGCGAACGGTCCGAGAGCCCCGGGGACGATGGGGTTGAGCTCCGGAAGGGCGGGAGGTCCGGCTCCTCGTCGCGGCTCTCCTTCTCGGGCTGGTTGGCGCATTTTGTGTCGAAACGGCGGACGCATCAGCAGCGCTCCTTCATCCGGCCCTCCGTTTCATTGTGTGGGTGTGAAGCCGGGGGTTTTAAAGGGACTGGGAAGCCGTGGTTGTGGATTTTGCCGTATACGCGATGCGCAACGCGACGGCTTGCATTTAACATGTCGTAATATGACGATTTTTCGACCAAAAATTAGAAATTTTCACTTTTTAGAAATTTTAGATGGTATTTCGTCGAAATTTTCGTTATATTTTACGAAAAAACTATAAAATACTAAATATTACTTTAGTCTGTTTTTCTGAACCTTTGCAACCCCCCGATAATGCACAAGCGCCAAAAATTCTTGAAAAATATTCTAACTACCTAATTTTTCGAAAAATTAAATTAGCAGAATAATAAAGACCAATTTTGACGTCACCATCCGAAAATCATCACTGCGCCGCGCTCCGTTCCGAGTATCGTCGCGTAGCCGGCCCAGCGCGGAGGCGCGCTGATCGAATTGGCGCGGGGTCGGCGCACCCCTCTGGCCTAATTGCCGCTAATCTCCCCGAGCCAACGGGGAAAACCCGCCCCCCACGACTTCAAGGGGGTTAAGCCGGAAGCCGGGAGATGGCGAAAATTAGCGCCAAAAAATGACGAAAGACATGAAAAATAAAAAATATGAAAAACAAAGTATTTAAAACAAAAAATATAGTAAAATATGGTAACCCGGAATCGTTTTCAACTCGTTAATTTTATTATTATACTTTCAGCGGTCGTGCAAGAGTCGTGCGTGTTGGGCAGCGATGGGGAGAGCGTCGAGGTATCGCCGTGTACGTCGGATCAGATGCCCGGCTCGGCGCCGCGCTATGTCGTCAACGTCAAGATGAGGCAAAAGCCGGCCAGGAAGTGGAGTGAGGTTGGTATTTTAATTCCGATCACCCGATTTTAAAGTCACAATGTCGAATTAAATCTAAA